CCCTGCTTACCTTTAAATTAAAACAAACAAACAAAAAAAAAAAACCAAAAAAAACCCACAAAAAAGAAAAAGAAATAAAAAGAAAAAACAAAAACAAAAGAAAAAACCGTTTCTGTGCTGTGCAAAAGACACTTTGTACAATTCAAACAGAACATACTCCATGCACATGAATGGGGCTACAGAATACCCCAAAGCCAGGACCCGGCTCCACCTGGCAAAATCCCAACAAAAACAGGGCTGGAAATAATACTGATGCGCAAAGTCCGAAAAAGAAATAAAAAGAAAAAACAAAAACAAAAGAAAAAACCGTTTCTGTGCTGTGCAAAAGACACTTTGTACAATTCAAACAGAACATACTCCATGCACATGAATGGGGCTACAGAATACCCCAAAGCCAGGACCCGGCTCCACCTGGCAAAATCCCAACAAAAACAGGGCTGGAAATAATACTGATGCGCAAAGTCCCCTTTAATAGGCGGGCAGGGAGGACTGTCGCTGAGCCCAGCCACGGCACATGCAGGATGAGCTTCCAAGCACTGCAGCTGGGGTCTTGCTGATGCCCTACAGTGATGGACAGACACAGAAGGGGGTCACAGGCAACAAAGCTGCACTGGCCGCCTGGGCGCCTAGGTGTGCTAAGATGACACCGTCACTGCCGTCAGGGCTCCGTTCCGGGTGTAGTAGAACTTGCTGAATGCCTCTTCAAGTAAACAGGTAAGTCTGCTCTGGTCAGCCTGGAAGAACAAGCTACAATGAGGGGTTGGCCCAGTCCACACAAAGCTAAGAGCTTGGCTGAAGCCTGCTGGAACATACAGGCAAGGACATGTCTTATTTCTCCTACTTCCCCCTCTAGAAAGGACACATCTGGTGTATACCAGTGATCTGTGACAAAGGAATGCAGACCTGTATCCCTCTCTGAGCCTCAAGTATGCTTACCTCACTGATGAATCCAAGCTGGACCAGTTCAGCTGCCAGCTCTTGGATGTTGTCATCTGCAACACAGGGAAGGATGAAAGTCTCAGGTCAGAGTGCACGGCTTTCCCCAGTGCACCACAGCATGGGAAGAAAGGTACTTACTGGGCTGCAGGTCACAGCTCAAGTGTCGATTCAACTTGTCTTCCAGTTTCAGCAGCAGTGTCAACTGCAGGGTAGAGAAGTTCTCATGAGGGACTGCAGTCTTGCAGGCTGCCACAAGCAGAAGCAATCCCCAGAAGACCCCATCAGTTTAGGAACCATCCCCCTCCAGAGCCCCATGGTAGTTTAACAGAGCAACCACATCCAGTTCCACTCCAAACCCCAGCCAGCAGCACCATCCTGTGGAGGAAGCCCGAATCTAGGGGTGGGCCAAAAACATTTGCTATATGCCAGTTTGGCCACAGGCACAAGCCTGAACCTGGCTCTGGGCTCCAAGGATCTGCAGAGGGTCCCACCAGGCACCAGCACACTGAAGCTATGAGCTCTGCACAGCTGCCCTGGTACACCCCCCCCCCCCCCACAACCTCAAACCCCCCCCCCCCAACATGCTCAGAAGGTAGGAACATACATGATGCTTCACTCCCTCCTCTACTGACTCAATGTTGCACTGCATCAGCACCACCTGAAACAGAAGCAGAGACACCCCATGACTGGCTGCTGCTGTGCAACACGACTGGCTGAGAGGAGGAGGAATGGAGCTCCCATTGCTCACCTTGCGGGTCTCCACCTCAGCAGGCTCTGGAGTTGGGGTTTTCACTGATGGTGGAGCAATGGGTGATTTCACCACTACCTGCTGGGGCTGCTGGGGTCGCGGCATCCCAAAAGCTGTGAGTGGGTAGATGCCATTCCTACAGGAAAGGAGCAAGGCCTGAGGTTATGCCTCCCTGAAACTTTCCCAGTCTCACACAGAGTTAAAAGTTGTCCTTAAAAAAACAAAATAAAACAAAACAAAAAAACCCAAGGTCTCACCTTACATCCTCCAGGAACTTGTCCAGCTCCAGTGCTGGAGATTGTGAGAAGCTGGCAATAAAAATAATAAAATAAAATACTGAGATGAAAAGTCATCCAACAGAATCATCCACTCAAATCTCTTTAGATGCAGTTTCAAATCCCCGTGTCCCAGACTATGGCTGTGTCAGTGGGCAGGGTGAGTACAGACAGGCAGCCAGCCAAAGGTGATAGAGACTTTAATCTTCCTCTAGAGGAAGCAACTATTCATAGAAGCTAAGGATGAGGCAGCAATTTAATTATGGCAGAACAGGTATCACACCTCCCTGTAGAGAGTTGTCCAATGCAAACAATTATTTGGAAGCTAGCCCAACAATACCATGCTCCTAGCAAGGTTTTTCAAAGACATCTGTTATACCAGACCTATGAAGCCATGTCCCATCTCCAGAAGAGCAAGGGCACATAGGACTGCAAAGGCAAGGACTTCTGCAGCAGCTGATGGCATAGTATAACCAGCCATATCACTCCAGACCAGAAACTAGAAACTATATTTCAGGATGTAATGCTCTGCCCAAATATTTCTCACTGGAGTTTCTGTTCTCTAATTTCTTTCCCAGACTGTTTGTTCAGCTTGCTGGCTTCTTAGTGTGACATCCTACAGGAAGTCTTCCTATTAATTTTTAATTCCCTAGCCAATAATTCCATTGAACACCCTCCTTGCTGACAGGGGACAGTAAGCACTGACAGCCTCTCCCCTTTGTGCCATAACTTGCCACATGTCTACTGCTCTTCTTCTTTCTCAACCTCAAGAACTTAAGAGTCCTTCCATGTGATGATGATGATTTCCAGCCCCTTGGTGAAGTCAGCTCTCTGATCTGCTCTAGGACTCGTCACAAAGGTTGCCACTTCGTACATGTACACATACAGCTAACTTCATAGAATAATAGAATGGTTTGGGTTGGAAGGGACCTTAAAGCTCATCTAGTTCCAACCCTCTGCTTTGGGCAGGGACACCTTCCACTAGACCAGGTTGCTCCAAGCCCCGTCCAACCTGGCCTTGAACACTGCCAGGGATGGGGCAGCCACAGCTTCTCTGGGCAGCCTGTGCCAGGGCCTCACCGCACTCACAGGGAAGAACTTCCTAATGGCTCATCTAAACCTCCCCTCTGACAGTTTAAAGACATTCTCCCTTGTCCTATCACTACATCTTCTACTGCCATTCAGTGGCCTGAGCATCCCAGGATGCTGGGCTACTCTGAAAGCATCCTGGTCTTCTCTGGTAATACAGTATCTTATTATTTTCAGCTAATGCCTCAACCAGCGAGGTTTCATTATCCAAAATTTAATATCATTAAATTGGCATCCTACTACTCCATACACTTACTTACACTATAGAGGTGGCTCCCTGAGTGGCTGCTTTGTGTTACTGATAGCTGCTGAAAACAGCTTTTCCCTTCGCCCATTGTAGAATGAGCTGCTCTGTTAAGAAAACACTGAGGAACCATATTTCCAACATGCTGGACTCCATTTGACAAGCCTGTGATTTATCAGAGTCACTTTCCCAAACTGCTCAGTCAGGTTTTGCTCAGGATTGTTCCAACTACAGTGTGTTAATTTCCCACCCCTCCGTCTGGGGAACAATTCATATCTCAGCTGCATGGGATCTGTTCACACAACATGGGTTCAAGGTTGTCTTCCACCCAGGAGTTACCCTCCACATCCTTTGTACCCTTCAACAGCAGCACCCACCAGCTCCCTTTTGTTTCCCAGTTAGTGGTGAAATACCAACACTAACTTGGAGAGAAGAGTCCCAGGCAGATCCTTCAGTGCTCATCCCAGTGCCCTGGCATCTGTTCCACATGCACCCAAGCAGCCCCCTCCAAGCTTACCACAAGGTACTCACATCATCTTGACTCCTTCCCTGTCTACATGATTAATCTCTGCCAACACAGCACTCATGTCAAGGTTTTTGGTCATTTCTTCTAAAGCATTTTCAGGAATCATATCTATTAAAACAGAAGTTAGAACAATTGCAATTCCTTTCCAATCTAAGAGAAGGAATAATAACCCCAGAGGCTTTAGGCTGTTAAAGTCACTCAGAGCAGGCAGGGCATCATAATCCTCCAGGCTTTGCAGTGACCACAGCTCTGTTTCACAAGGCCCTGGTCCCTGCCTGTTAAAAGCAGCATGAAGGCCTTGCTTTCCAGGATGCCAGATGTATTGACAACTTAAGAGAAGCTTCTCAAGAACATGGGGATGTGGCACCCTGGGACTCTTTATACTCACGCTGATGTCCAACGATACAGTGAGCAGCCAGTAGCTTCAGTGATGGCACCTCAAACAATGCCTGATGGAAAAGGAGCTCCCGGGCAGTAGGACGCTTGCCAGGGTCCTGCTCTAGACACTTCTGAATGAACTCCTGAAAACCAAAACTTGCATGAGACTATATGTAATGCCCATACATCTTCAGGGGCACCAATCCCTCCTCACTCACCCTCTGCAAGGGGTCCTCCAGCAGCTGGATGGCACTGTTAATGGCCTCCTGGGGCACGTAAGACGATTCTCCATTACCCTGTATTTCCAGCACCGCCATCTGCAAACACAAAAGCAGTGCATCAGACATCAGGAAGAATTACTGACTGCATTGAACAGAGCTCAAGGAGACCACTGCCAAGCATGAGATCATAACAACCAAGTTGTGTGGTGCTATTTAAGGTCACAGTCTGTGAGGGCAGAGAAAGAAAGACAGCCTCATTATGATTGCTTGTTTCTAGTAGCCTAACAGATTGCCAGGGAGACCTGAAAACTCTGCCAGCATCACCTTAGATAGTTCATACATCCATTTTGAATCTCATGATCCATTGGCCAGTACTTCTACTTGATAATTTCCAGCCTCTAATGAAGCAGTAACTGGATCACTGCCAGAATCTGACAGTGTCCGTCCTGGCTGTATGAATAGCTCTGTATTACAGGAAGAAAAGCAAGCACACAATGCCATCCAGAACTGTCTCCAGCCAACACATATGCAAATTCCCAGCTAGGAAAGGCTGGCAAAAGATTGCAGAGAACATCTTAAGGTTCAGCTCAAGTTTTGCTTCCTAAAAGTTGTGTTTCCACAGTTCTCTTCCTACTTCACTTATGGGATGTGCAGCACAGATTGAGAATTGTGTTGGCTCTTGCTCACAATTCTTCCCAGAAAATACTCCTACTAATAACTCCCTCTTCCTAGACTTGGGCCTGTTGATTGCAAGGACAGAGGAACCACTAAGCTGCTAAGATCAGGTATGTCAGACCCATGCTTGACTGCAATCAGCACCGACATCAGGTGAGGACAGGCTGACCCAGAAAAGTTATGGACTACATCTGTCCTCTCCTCCAGACACCACAGGAAGAACAGGTACTCCCCAGAAGGGGAATTTTGTTCTCCATGTACTTTAAAGTACAGTTTATAGTAGTGACTGTTTCCACCAGCCAGTGGGAACAGCCAGAATCCAGACCTGGCCAAAACCTGCGGAGTAATGAATTGCACATTAGGAATTTCAGAAAGAACTACCCATTAGCAAGCTATATCTTACTATGAGTAAGGCATCTGGGGGAGCCTCAATAGGGATCCATCTAAGGCAAAGTGCATTTAGCTCAGAGAATAAAACACCCTTGTTACCAAGCTAACCCACCCATAACCACAATATCTAGAGCCACCTCCTTCCCTCAAATTCATTCTCTCTCTTTACCACAGGTCAAAGTGTTCCACACTCACCTCCAGTGCACACATCCCAAAGGAATAAATGTCCACAGCAGTGGTGACATTGGCAACTTCTGTAACAGAAAAAAGGTTCTGTTATCAGTCTATTCTTGCATTCTCTCCCTCCTCTGCAGCCTTCTCTCCCTCCTCTGCTATCAAAAGACTGAGGAGTTGAAGCATTTAAGCAGGCAAATAACTCAAAACCGTTAATGCGACATCTGTCATGAGCCTGTAGCTGAAAACAAGATGCAGAACAGCTTGGAAGCATTAGTAATGCCAACGAAACCAGGCCTGCAGCTGTAGCCACACCCTACCTCCATATTCCGGGGCAAAGAAGTGCAAGTTCTTCTGCTCCTCACGACAGGTCTTCACATGGTTGTTAATTGTGTCCGGTGCCACTAGAAGAAAGTCATGAATGCTTAGGATGCAGGAAACCGTAGCCCATCCCTGACTAGATCCTAGGGAACACATGCAACCCCAGGGCCCCCTGGGTAGCCAAAGGGGCAGCAGAGGGGAGTTTCATTGACCCTTCATCAGTCCCTCATCTTAGGTCACCTGCCCTGATACTTTTCTCCATTGTTTCCTTGGCTGCAGTTCGACTAAGGCAGCTTAGTGTTACTCTCCAAGAGCAAACCTGGAGACAAGAGGAGGAAACCTGGAGATAACAGCTTCTGCCACATGGGAAGACAAGATGGGAAAGACCCCCTGTCAGAGTGCAAGTCCTGAAAGCACCTAACTTTCTATAGCACTTGTCACAAGCAACTCAACAGAAGCCCTAGGAAACGCCAGAGATGGCAAGATCACCCAATTATTCATTATTAGGAGAAGGATAGACCTACAAGGAAACTTCTCCATGTACCAGCATGGCATTGGTGCCAAAATGCCTCAAGACAAAAGTCAAGCAAAGCTGCTGAATGAGGAGAGATGACCACCCTCACAGCAGAAGTCTCCCAGCAGCCTCCACAGCTACAACCACAAACCACTCAGAGGCAAAGGGATAGAATAACTCCCAGTCACAAGAACAACCAAGCAGAACACAAGTATGGACCGCTCTCCACACCAAAAAAATAATAAAACAAACAAACAAACAAACAAACAAAAAAAAAACACCCCACAAACAACCTTTGGGACAACCACTTTTGAAAACACCACAAACAACTTTCCAAAACTAAGCAGCTGGCTCCATCAGAGAGAAACACTGACGTAGGCAGAGAGCACAGAGTGACCATCCATCCCTTCTAAATTTGTACTTCCACCCTTGAACATGTCTGGTCCCACAGTCTCAGGCCACTTTGTCAGTGACCTGGACAATCACAATTGGTCCTGGTCTGTCCTACTACTGCTGGACTTAGATGAGATGCGCCAAACCACTTGTATTTTTCCAGGTTCCTGGATTAGGGCAGGACACGCCAAAGAGGATTCAAATGAATGAGACTTGAACTAGTTCCCAGCCTCAACGTAGATATGATCATTGAGCTCTATTCAGAAAAGAAAAATCTGCCTTGGTAAATCATCTCAACCCTGCTGTGGCACATACCAAATCATATTACCTTACTCGAGCACTGGAAACAGCTTACTCCAATGGCCAGCATCTACTTTCCCAACCAATCATTCATGAGTAGTTTACTGCTTTTTGTTCTTGTGCTAGCTCTTATTTTGGGAGTCCAACAAGATTACTTCATTCCTACTGCTTAACTGTTTACAGACACCACAAGGTCCTCTCAGCTTCACAGCACTAAGCAAAGTAAGCTAAATTCTGCTTCCTCTTAAGACTTGCTTTGCATTTTGCCAGTGACACTCACTACTTTTTAGAGGAGCTCTGGCCAGGGCCACGCACAATCACACCAATTCTTTTTACTAGGGACTGTACCCCAATGGATTTTAACATTGCACACTTGGCAAGTGGGTCAAATTCCTCCCCTGAACAGCTAGTAGATACCAGATCCTCCTCAATTCCCAAATGACCAACTCTGGACTTCTAGGCAGCTTTGTATTTTGCACTATGGAATTACAACTGGAATTTGTTCAGTCCTCTAATGTCTCCCTGCACTTCTAGAGGACATCCTGATCTACCTCAGCATCACATGTTCCTATGTTTCCATTAACAGCCTCAACATTGATGAGATCAGTACTTGAAAGACTCCAAACCCCTCTGGTGGGGCAGCCCTTTTTCACCTTCAGCCCTGTCACCATGCCTCCAATCAGTCTCCAACTCAGCATACAGGACAAATCACCCAAGGTTTGTCCAGCACAACAGGTTCTCATACTGGGCCTTCTAAAGAGGTTCCCAGACATCCACAATGGAGAAGTCCTGTTAACTTGCTTTTGTCTACAGGTAGTATCTGCCTTAAGTCACCCACTGTGTATGTCTGGTCTAGAGGTGGCTACTCAGAAAGGAGGGGCTATGTCAGGTCCAGCAGCTGATTTCCCCATCATTACTCCTCTTTCCTTTCTGTAGATGTGTTGGCTAAGAAATCAAGATCAGGTTTAATAGTACTGTCCCCTTTGCCCTCAAAGTAATTTATTCTTTTCTATTCAAAAGAACAATTAATCGCTGTAAAAACAAACAACTTAATGTCAAATGAGATTTTGCCTTCTTAGAAAACCCACCCACACCACACACACCCCAGGCACACATGGCCACTCATGACTTCCAGAACTTCCAGAACTTTTGCTGGAGACTTGAAGGAACTAATTTTGCCTAAATCTATAGTGTATCACTGGTGGGTATGAGGGGTGGAGATAAGGATAGCTACAGCCCTACGAAGGGACAGAGGCTGAGCACATCCAGAAACTTAATGTTGCTGCAGATGCAGTCACCTGAACACTGTGACCAAGAACAGGTTTTTCTTCAGAGTGTCCAATACCATTAAGATTTTGGCATTCCCTCAAGGTCCAGGGTGTAATGCATCACAGGATCTTGCTGATCCCAAATGTGTTTTGTTCCCTGTCTACAAGAACTATAACTTTGTCCTGGTTTTTCCTGCAACAGAACATGCTTTAGAAAGACTTCAGAAACCCTTCTGCTCTAAAGTCTGAATTTCTGTTTTTGTTTTAATGGAATACTCGGTGTCTTTGTGCAGCATGCAGTATACATGAACTATCAAATAGGTGGCTTTGTGAACCCTGGTAAGCCTAACATCTATCGCTCCATGACAGCCTCTGACTACCAGAAACTAACTGGCCAATCTGGGGATATAAAATAAGACAGATAAAATAAGTCTCGTATTTGTTCTGCCTTTCTTATCAGTACAATGGATTGTAAGAATAAACAGGAACCCATCTTCAGCTACACAGCTCTGTAGAGTCAGATGTCTGGCAACCACTACCAAGATCCTGCAGCCCCATTGTCTCACCAGGGCCAGACCCCTGGACAAGGGCACAGACATCATGACTGGCCCCTGAAGAGAGGCACTGTGTGAACAGTGCCAGCACTGCAGAAACTCAGCACACACCATCAAGTGTTGGACCAATGTCCCGAGGCGGGAAATCTGGCACAGTACTATGAAGGACAGTGCCATCCTACCAAACATGGAGCAGAATAGCCGAGGGTAAAGTCATCTTCCAAACGATGTTCTGATTAGCTTAATTTTCCAATGTGTCTTTAAAGATTATTTCTGCTGCATGTTGGATGGCAAGGGCTAGTTGACTATCCAGCCATTCTGTCCTTTGCTCTTGGGCTCTGTTTAAGAACAGAAAACAGGCAGTGATCAATCACAAAAGCTATTATCAACAGAAACCTTAGTTAGTGATGTAATATAGGCACTCCCATACCAGAAAGGCAAGTCAATGAAATCCTCTGGAAGCCCAACCTCTACCTATAATGGCTGTTTGTACCTCATTAAGGACTTGATAATAAGCTTCTCTGCATCCAGGTCCTGTGGACATTTTGCAGTGGCAGAGCTATTTCTGGAAAGAGCTGGGCTTGCACTGTATAGGAACTTCCAGCTCAGATAAATAGAAAAGCAATTTTGAATTAGCTGTTGTAGGACACCCAGGGACCTGTCCCCTCTGATACTGTGGTCCTTGTGCCTCTGAATTTGCAGAGTCCCACTGGAATTCTCCAACATGTCTTTCTGTCACCGTAGCAGAGCCCAGCTCTGTTTGATTAGCCGGACGTGGCAAGCTTCTTTCCTGCTCTAGCAGTTTATATCACAGCTCACGTGCAACTTGGCTGGAAGTCACACACATAACCTTGCTTTGTCATTGCAAAGCTAAAGCAATGCAACAGTAGAGCAATGGCTTAAGACCACCAGATTCTTCACTGTATGCCTTAGGGCTAAGCAGAGACAGCTTTGCCAGACACACATCTGTTCCGTTCATCACTGTGACAGCAACAACCTGCTATTGAAGTCAATTCTGAAAAATTCACTGTGAGCATGTTAAACAAGGCAGACAAAAGTGCTATTGCATCTTGCGACAGTATTTTAGAAGCTGGGGCAAGAAATGTTGGGTTTGGTCTGGTCTAGTTACTGTCGTAGGTCTGTCACCTTGGTGCACAAGCCATTTAGCACAGATAGAGGCTTGCCTGAGAGTACATTTAAAAACAGGCTCTTAACTGCACAAGATAAGGATACACACTTTAATATGCCTCTGACACAAGCTCTTCTGAATGACTCGCAGATGGTTGCTACCTGCCATCCACTACTATATCTAGTAATAATTCTGTGAATGATCAGATTCGTGAAGGCTCAGGACAGTTATACTAAGCAAGACAAACAATGAAGGTTAAAAAGGAAAGTCTGATCATCAACATTAACAATGAACATGGTTTTCTCAGCCACAGAGAAGACAACAGCAAGCGGCAGGCTACAAGACATAGCACTACATGACTGATCAGTCATGTAGGGAATCAGCAAAGCAAAGATGAATATTAGAAAATGATTCAGCCAAATATGGTGTCATGCAGGGCCGATGACAGGAAGAGACATGAAGTACAGCAGAAGGTAGGACAAGCAACTTGCCTGTGGCAAGCTGAACTCAGTCTGACAATAAAAGCATAAAGAGAAATAATTAGCATTACTACAGGAACATGCAGAGCTTGCTGACTTCTCAAACCCTCAAGGACATGCTAGAGCAAAGAGCTCACCAGGGTAAATGGAGCTCAGAGTGCCCACCAGTCATTAGGAGCGTCAGCCAAGAACACACTTGGTGGTATTAATTCCAACTGTCAGCAGTGGCAGGTTTTAGCAGAGATGCCCAATCACCCAGCAACCTGCCCTTTTAAACACTACATGCTGCAGAAAACATTTTCCTCTTGTCCTGTGTCCAATTCACACCCACCTTTGTTCTGCATTCAACACTTCCTCCCTGCAGATACAAAAGACAAGTCTGGCCAACAGTCCTTCCTCTCCTCCTGAAGTAGCCATTGAACCACTTGGTCCCTTGCAAATGCCTAAGCATTCTCCAAAGCAAGACTGTATTAGTCTGCTCTTAAAGTGCTCAACTACACTGTACTCCATGTTTCAGCAGGCTTAGAAAACAGACAAAGACAAGATGACCACAAGAAGGATCAAGAGCTAACCTTTAAGGTTAGTTTCAGGCTTGCTATGCCATCCAGGAACAGGGGTTGATTAACTACCTTACCTATGCTGCACTGTATCAGCACCACAGGGACACAAAAATAATCAACTGAACGCAAGACCATCTGTTTGCAACTATGAAGGGGTGGCCACAGAGCCAGGACAGGTATGAGGCCACATTGTCATCCCCTGCACTCATGTACAAGACATTTTCGCTACTGCAAAAGGGTCTAAAACTGCACAAACCCAAGGCATTTCACAGTTCACTTAATTTGCACACAAAGATGACAAATGCATTTTTATTAGGGAGGGCAAAGCCTAGAAAAATAAGCAACTAGGAAGCCATTGGAAACAGAAAAGCAGCACACAGCCATTAACACTGAGTCAAACAGGAAGAGTAGGGCATATTTAAGTTGATCACAGAATGCAAGCATCCTACAGCCCTGTAGATCTGTATCAGGGACTGTAAACAGTGTTTGCAAAGTTATTTGCAACACTGAGTCACCAAAAGCAAGAGGATTTTTTTATTTTAACAGCTGAATATCTAATGAGATGAAGAGGCAAAGAGGTTCAGTATATGAAGTTTACTACGTAACAGCTCCCAGTGTCAGATAACAGCCCCACAGCTGCTTACATCCATGTTCATGCTCGCCACATCCATTGACATTGTTTCTGAGTAGCAGAACTAATCTCTGCTTAAAACATTGCCCACGTTTAAGTCAGAGATTCTGCTGAAGCAGAACCAGTGCTACTTGCAACAGAGAGCTGGTATCATACAAAAATTCATGTACTTTCAAGAAAGGTATCCTGCTCCACAGAAATCAATATAGAATCATAAAATCACGTCGTGGTTCAGATTGGAAGGGTCCACTGGAAGTCACCTTGTCCAAACCTGCCTGTTCCAGCAGGGACATCCAGAGCCAGTTTCCCAGTACCATGTCCAGTCAGCCTCTGAAGAGCTCCAAGAATGGAGACTCCATCACCTCGTGGGGCAACCTATGCCTGCATCACCCTCACACTGAAAAAGCATTTCATGGTGTTCAGAGGGAACCTTCTGTGGTCCAGTTTGTGCCTGTTGTCTCTGGTCCTGTCACTGGACACCACTGAGAAGAGCATGGCTCCATCCTCTTGGCACCATTCCTTGAAGTATTCCATCCCCCAGAGCCTGTTCTGCTCCAGGCTGAGCCATCCCAGCTCCCTCAGCCTTTCCCCACAGCAGAGATGCTCCAGTCCCTCCAGCATGCCTTGCAAGGTCCCTCCTCCCTTGGTGGCCCCTCACTGGACCCACTCCATGTCCCTCTTGCACTAGGGAGCCCAGCACTCCTGGTGTGTCCTCAGCAGTGCTGAGCAGAGGGGAAGGATTCCCTCCCCCTTGAGCTGCTGGCAATATTTTGCCTCTGCATTCCAGGATATCAGTAGACTTCTTTGTAACAAGGGCACATTGTTCACTCGTGTATATATGAAGGCATATAAATGAATGATAAGAAGGAAAATGATCATCCTGCATCAGACTTCTTGTGCAGCAGTGGGTGGTATTTTTCTGTTTAAATAAAAAACTGTAAGTTTTAAACTGACATGTTTGACCACATCCATTACATGAAAGCAGAGCAGGAAATGGAAGACCATAGACACAAGAACAGATAAAGAGGACTTATCTTACAAGTACCTGTCAATCCTGGCTGCATGCAGGGTCTTAGGCAGGAACTTAACAGGTGATTAACACTTTATCTGGAAGAGTTCATGATACAAACAACTTCATTCTGAACAAAGTGCATAGAGAAATTCGAAATGTGCACACAAAGCCAAGTTCTAAGTTACAGACCAAAGGAACAAAGGTCCTACAGAGCAGTCAAACCCCTGCTTGGGGTGCATCATCTGACTGCAATACAGCTTTTATACCAAAAAGATGAAGGGGCAGTAGGGCTGCCATTCTTACTCGGTTCTTTCTCAGCTGAAATGGCAGGGCAATTATTACCTGCAGTAGCCTCACATCACAGTGAAAGAATTACATGCAATCATAAAAACAAGAAAAAAAGACATTCACTGAAATGCTATGGACCAAGCTACTCTGGGAGCATCTTTTAGTCCCAGAAGACATACACTGATAAAGTCCTCAGAAACATGACTGTGAAAGTTATTTTATGTTTTAAGCAGCTTTGCTTAACAGCACTGAACCAGTAAAAATGCATATTTGATTAAAATGCAATTATGGCCCACAAGATTTGAGTACTTCAAGTTTAACTTCCCTGAATTTCAAACTTCACATGTCTGATTACTGTTATTTCACAACACGCTGAAGCTGTGCAAATGGTCTTGGAAGACTTAAACAGAAAAGCTCACCCCCTGAAAGCAGGAACTAGAGTGAAAACACTGGTGCACATGCTTCAAGGCCTAAATCACAAGAAGTGTCTAGGTTGGAAGGGACTTCTCAAGAATATAGCTCACCCCCGTTGCTCCAGCAGGGTCAGCTAAAACAGGCATGGCAGAGGGGTTGGAACTAGATAAGCTTAAGGTCCCTTCCAACCCAAACCATTCTATAAATTTGTGCCCCTTGCCTCTTGTCCTGTCAGTGGGCACTACAGAGACTGGCTCTCGCCTCTTCATTCCCTCCCATGAGGTATTTGTAATATTGAAATGACCCCCCTGAGCCACCTTCTCTCCACACCAAACAACTTCAGCTCTCTCAGCCTTTCCTCATATAGACAGATGCTACAGTCCCTTAATTGTTTTCGTGGCCCTGTGCAAGACTCTCTCCATTAAGTCCATGTTTGTCTTGTACTGTGGAGCTCAGATCTGGACACAGCACTCCAGATGTGGTATTACCAGTGCTAAAGAAAGGAAGGATCACTTCGCTCAATCCACCAGCAATGCTCTTTCCTAAGATACTGCTGGCCACCTTTGCTGTCAGGGTGTGTTTCTTGTTCATGGTCAGCTTGCTGTACTCCAGGATTCCCATGTCGTGATTTGCAGAGTTGGTTTCCAGAAAGTTAATCTTGAGCACGTATATGGGGATGTAAATACTTGCTAAGTTTATATTCAAGAGATTTTTCAAGAACCAACATGAAGGAGCCTTCTAAAATGCTAATGTTCCACATGCCTTCAATCAAAGGACCCCAAAAGGAGTGGACATATTCATCTGCCATACTAGTACTAAAATGGGTAAATGAAGACCTGGATGACAATGAAGACATGTCCTTGACACATCCTGGAAATCCACATAAAGGCAGAGAAAAACTACAGTCCAGAGCTGAAGAAGCAGAAGCCTTCAGTGCAACACAAAAAGAATAATTCTGACACAGGAAAGGCACATTCTCATAACCTGAAGCACCAGAGTGAGAAATTTAAACCTTTTCAGAAGATCTTATTTAATTGAAAATGACAATCAGTCTAGAAGACAGTTTGCTAGTGTTTTCATGAACGGGATGACTCACAGCAGCACAAAGGCATCCTGAGCAAGGAAGGCAAGCACATGAAGCAAGAGCCAGCTTTTAAGCCTTCTGCAAAATTAAAATGAGACTTTATTACCATCACGCCATAGTAGGAGGTAGATCTGTTAAGTATGTATTCTGCTTGGTAACTCTGCAACAAGGCCAAAGACACAAATTCTGACCACTAAATCTGACTTAAAACCCCCCAACAGAACACCACCCTCCCCCAAATACACACTAAATCACAACACATTCAGTCAGGTGCTATTTGAAGTTTCAAAACCTAGCCACGTCAATTAAAAGCCCACTGATTGTCACTTACCTATAACTGCTCCTCCTGCCTTGAGGTGCATGCTTACATACAAAAATAAAGGCAGGTCTCTGGTAATCATTTTTGCCACTCCAGTAATCTTAGGATCACAGAATCATAGAATAGTTAGGGTT